TTAAGTATAAATCTATAATATAATTCTGCAATCAAATAGTACTAGGTAATAGATTTTAGTGATAGAATAATTCCAGATACCTCACATCAAAAAAGTGATAATAGTTACTACTACTACCGTCTTTAAGGAGAATAATGAGAAATCACATAAATACTTTTTATAAAACTAAATCAACAATTTATTAAATTATTAAAGATAAAAATTAACTTCAACTAACCTTTCAATACTTTAACTTCCTTTTTTTCCATTTTTAAAAATTTATTCCAAAACAGCATATCAATGCACATTTAATATCACTTTAAATGTTTAAATATTAATTTTAATGTTACTTTAATAGACAGATTTTAAAAAAATATTAATTAAATCTTTAATTTCTGAGCACAATTAACTTCAATTTCGAGCATTTAAGATATATCGCGGCTTATCAAAGATAAACTGATCAGCAAACTCCTTAAACCGATATTTTATAGCAAACACCAATAACCGAATGAAAACGAGTCAAACACCAATACAAATATAAACGAAACGTATAATCAAAAGAGCACAAGACCCGAGCACAAATTAGCTTACAATACATATGCAGATATTAAGCTCACCATTTGCACTTGTACATGTATAGAGAAGCTTTCAGCTTAAGCAAGTGTATTGGATGCACTTCCATCTATAACACATATATGTATATACATTGTGTTATAGTTACTCTCCCCCTACTCGGTTATTGAGCGGCTTTGCCTTTACATGTATTATTCATTATTGTACTCAGAGAGTTTCTCTAAAATGTGTTGCTATTTCTTTTACTCTTCTCTGTTTTTTCAATGGCTAATAAAGTAATAGTTACTATATCCGAAGTTTGTAACGAAATATTTTATTTTGGAGTACCTCAGAATTGTTATGTAACGATACTGTTTTTTATGTATGGCTCAATATATAATTATTTAATTCATTTTTTTTCAATTCTATCAAAAACCATAGCTTAGTCTTTCAATAGATAACTAATATAAAATTTTTTACTTAAAAAAATATATAATTGATATTAGAATATAATGTATATACATTTATTCTGAGAACTGAATAAAAATTGAATAATTTAATTTCTATTAAATAATAATTGCCCTTTATAGTAGGAGAGGCTTGAAGTTGCTAACTGGTTAACTGATACCTTAAATTACACACTCAACTTCACTAGAAGACTTTATTTGATCTAAAACTCAGAATATAATGCCACAAGGAGAGATGACC